ARTCAGACTCGAAATTGTAATTGGCGACAGGTGTCAACGCTGCAGGTGGGCGTGTGTTTGCACGAAGTGGAGGCGCAGGCGAATGCTGAGTATCCAGACCTTTAGCTCGTAGTCTGCTCGTTTCATGATTGTGCGATCTCGTTGAAATCCGTGTCGCCGCGGTTGGATGGCGGGTAGGCGCGGCGGGCAGTGAGTAGGGCGGGATGCTGAGAGGCTCTCTTCTGCCGAGAGGTGCCCAGGGCAGACCGGGCAGTGGTCGAGGGGTTGAAGGATCGTAGGCCATGGGAGGTCGGAGGAGTGTTGGCGAAATGTCTGCAGCCCGGTCATCTTGGAGGATTTCTGCATCTCGCCGTGACCTTGGCGGTACTCGTTTGAGCTGTGGCCGAGACGTGTACGAGAAGAATTTGCAACGATGGGGGAGTCCGGTAATACAGGCGCTGCAGTCGGGGCAGTTAGGCATACCTTGAGAGGCTTTCGAAGGCAATGTTGAAAGATCTGTCTTTTTCAACCGAGATGTGAACTAGGAGACGAGGGAGAAATCGAACTTTAACATTGCATGAGAGGAAGGATTGTAATATTTGAAAAAGTTTGTCTTGCATCGGTATGGAGCGATTGAATCGCGGCTGAAACTTGCAAGACATAGATTTCACGTCCTTATAGTCGGCTAAGCACGTCCGACTTTGAAGGAGAGAATCTGTTAAAGGTTAGCAGAGATCACAATATCGTAGATGCAGCACTCCAATCACTCACGTCATTCTTTCCAGGCGAGACCAGATCGTCTTCGCTTACCCTCACACCTCCCACAGTGTCGACATACGCAAGCGGTGCATCACCCATGACTTTGCGGTAGACATCTCCGACAGTGCTGCCTTTCTTCACCAAGACACAGTCTCGGAACACCGCCGATCGCTCACCGCCAGAACCCGCCTCTCCACTTCCAAACGTGCTGATATTTCGTACAGGAAAGACAGGAACCAGTCCGAGCACTTCAGAAGCACGAGTGAGCACTTGATTGACACCCGTGCTTCCAAATCGATAAAGGACCATGTCCTTTAAATTCTCAATCCTTGTCTTGAGCTTCTCGTCCATTTCCTTGAGTCCACCTCCATCCTCTTCGCCTTGTTCGATGAGATCCTCTCGTGTGTCGATGAATTCCGAGCCCGGTATATATCGGATGAAGTTCTGCTTGACTAATCTCCGTAGAAAGACCTCTGAAATGGCACTGCAGAGTACCAGTCTCTCCGCCTTTTCAAACTTGGCGATCTTGCTCACATTCTTGTCCGCATCGGCGTGATCGATCTTGTTCAGCGCCAGAACCGTGGGAAACTTCTCATCCACAAAGGCATTCACCACGCTCTCCACCGTCGCATCGTCCCAGTCCGGCAGTGGCGTCTTCAGTGCCATCTTGTCCAGTGTTCTCGCAACCACAGCTGAGGTCGATCCGTATCCGGAGAATTGGTTCTGCAGTGTTTCCACCGCAGTAGCCTTGACAGCTATATGTCGTCGCTTGATCCCTCCCCATTTCTGCATCAAGTTTCCCAATACCCAGCTGACAATCTCTGAGCGCAGCCACACTATATCCTGCGAGGGATCGTAACCACGTGTTGCTTTTCCCTCCGCGTCCGTGGTGCCGGAAACATCGACCACGTGAATCAAGGCATCTGCATGGCGCAAATCATCCAAGAATTTGTTTCCCAATCCCTTGCCTTGATGCGCACCGGGCACCAGCCCCGCGACATCTAGCAGCTCAATCGGCACGCTCCGCGTCCCTTGCTGACAGACGCCGTAGTTGGGTTTGCAGCGTGTCACCAGAGGCGGCGGGTCGTCAGGTGTCGGGGGAGTATTTCCCGGTATTGATGTGCGAGAGCAGGCACATTGTATTTGGAGGTAGCCTACGGCGCGGTTGGGATCGATGGTGGTGAAGGGAAAGTTTCCTGTTGCATGTGAGTGGTGGTGATCTACCTCTTTGCTGCAGAGCAGGTGGCCGCACCCACTTTTGCTGTTGTGTCTGTCAAGCTGTTGAGGGTTGTGCTCTTGCCGCTTGACGGCTTGCCCACCAGCGCGATGAGAGGATCGCGAGGCATGGTCTGGGGTGAAGTGATGGTTGTTGATCCTGTGGACTTTTTTTGGAGGGCAATCTACGCTTCACATTCGCGTTTCACCCCGCACTTTGGTCTCGTCTTCCAGTCTCGTCCAAGTGCGATTCATGATCAACATCAACACGACAACGCAGCCTCATGTGGAGATGCCTTCTTGATTTACACAGCGGCATACCGCCACAGCATTCATGAGTGTTGCGTCCCCGCCACTCTTCCACAGCTATTGGCAATGCCAAACTTTTGGCGATGGAATGTCTCCTGTCTTTCACAGCCCTGACCATGCCTCCGCTCTGTGCCGCCGCACATGGAGCTGTCGTTCTGTGATGCGGCGGGAAGTTAAGAGTAAGGTAGAACATGTGGACGACATGTCTCATCACCGATATCACAGGACACTGAGCGGAAAAAGAGGCATGGCGAAAAAGTGGRGTCTCATCAGGTGGGTGGAAGGATCAGGAGCATGTTCGTGGTACGGTAAGCTTGCCGAACGGGTCCCAGCAGCGGTTCTGAGCGGTGGCCTTCAGCCTTTTACCAAGGCGGACAAGGATCCGAGATGGAAAGTTAGATTGATGACCTGTCTTGGGCGGCAGCAACAATGTCGAGATTCATGGTCAAATGGATTTATTGATTGATTGATTCGTCTGCCAGCGTCGCGTTGAAGACCTACCTTGCTAGTCTGTTTATGTGCAGATAAACAGGGGACCAAAAGTCTATTGCAAGTAGGCACGGAGCCGCTTCCTCAAGTCTCCACCATCCATCTCCCACTGTAAAGCTTGCCGCGAGACCTGAGGCCGTGAAATGGTATGGCGTGAAGACCGTTGCTCGTACCCACCCACCTCTGCCACTCCGCGAACACCAGACACACCGCAACGTCTCGCCCTCTTAGTCGCTGACGGTACATCCACGGGACAACTTCCACCTGGATACGACAAGGGACCCCATTGTTGACTGCACCACCACCCTCGATCAATCGAGGCCATTGCATGCCACCGTCCGGCGGGCCAGCACCAGCACGAGGAATATGCAGATGCAGCTCCTCTCCCGCAGCCAGTGGTACGCGGCATGACCGCGAGCGGGACTGAACTGAGCACAAGGAGCTACCGTCAAGCAGGCGCAACCTGTCCGACCTGGCCTCACCACCACCTCCGCATTGGGCTGCGAGCATATCATGACCACTTCGGCCGCCGCAATGGACGTCGCCACCCGCTTCCAGCCGCGAGGCCGAGCCCAGACCTATCTGGAGCGGGAGCAACGCAACAACAGTGATGCCTCTAGTACTGAATGTGAGCTTGCAACCTGTCGATCGGTTCAGCTTCCGCTCCCCGGCAACTGACCTGTATCTAGCCGAGTCCTTGATACGCCGCAAATTCCAACGCACCAACGCCGCCGACGCCGACGCCTCCGATGATATCTTCCGCAAGCCCTCCCTTCCAGCGTCTGCGGCGAGGGCGTCGATAGACCAGCGCCCGAGTTTCACTCATCGAAGGAGGAGCACCCTGCGAGATAATGCACGAGTCCCAAGCGGACCCCGGGACCTGCCCAGTCCTGCCAAAAGGTTCGAGGTGATGTGCCATGGAAGGGAGCAGGATGTGGCTAACAGCGCGGACAGAGTGGCCAGCGGAAGCTCATCTGCACGTGCGCCTTCTGCCATGACTGACAAGACCAACAACGCTCACTCCTTCCTCGACCACACCCCTTCCGAGCCGTTCTACAGCAAGAGCAGCTTCGCCGACCCATCTTCCATCTCGATACACGACGCAAGCTATCCCGCGACTCCTGCCACCAGCAACTTCGACTTCATGCCYACGGTGAACTTTGATGACTTTCAGAACTCTATTGCTAGTTATGGTGGGAACTCGCCGCTCCTGAGCGACTTTCCTGACATTCCCACGTTGGGCAGCGGGAGGGCAATGCCAAAGGAAAACGGCAGCAGCGCAGGAGTACACTCGGATAGGACGCCAGTGAAAACGATCGAGCCGAGAGAGAGTCCTGGTTTAGGCAGAAGTGTAAGTCTTCGCAAGAGACTGACCGCTGCGCCGGGAGGAAAGCAAGGCCCGAGCCAAGCGGGTGGTGAAAAAAGGCCTGTGACCTCTCCACAAGCCACCAGCAGCTTGTCTCTGCGAGGAAAGCGCCAGAGTGCAGCTCCCCAAGGCCCTCCAATGTACAATCCGGCGCCTGCGCCGGTGGGAGCTGGTTCACGAGCGCCACGCAAGTCGCTGGGATCAGGCGTGATTGCATCAATGTTGGAAGGACGAAGGACGAGCCAGCCTGTTCCAACAGAGGCACCATTCAAATCCAATTCAAGTCAAACGGGAAGTGCGAACAAGGCCTCCCGTCGCATAACTATGCAACCACCTGCTTCTGCCGGCGCAGAGCCTCGTGTACCCACATTCACAGCAACGACGCAGTCTCGGGCGAACAAAGTGAAGAGTCTGCAGGCCCCACCGAGGGAAACTGAACCTGCGTCTCCCGGCGGACGCTCTGTTTCGAAGGGAACGCAAAATCGTTCTCAAACACCGTCATCATCGGGTAGTAAGCGACAATCGACAGCCTCTGGCAGGGCGTCTGGGTTGGGAGCTCGTACGATAAGTCCAACGGACGCTCGTCGATTAAAGCGACTTTCGATGATGCAAGCACCTCCAATGCCAACAAACCTGGCTCTTTCGAAGGACCATCCCCTGCCGGAGCGTCCCATTCCTCACGAGGACTTTCTACCATTAAAGCTGGAGTTGCCCCGATTCACACAGGCAAGCCCGAGTCTAATTCCCAGAAAATCGAGCAGCGCCACTCCCACGTCAGCTCGAGCTTCACCCGAAATACGCGGAAACTACGCTGCAGCTCCCACCCTCAGCACGAAATCTAGTTTTTCGTCTCTCCTCAATCTGAATGGATCTACGTCCCGACTACCAACCCCAAAGACCAGGAATGTTCATTCAAGCTCTGCACAATATGGAGAGGATGAAGAAATTGTACCGCCCGTCCCAGCAATCCCCAAGGCCTTTGAGAGCCCAAGAGAGAGCGACCAGGTCTTTTTCGCGAACATGCCCAAGGATAACGACCGCGAGGCAGCTTCTGCGGCGAAATCATCCAAGCCGAATAGAGAGGGCAGCATCCAAAATCGACGAAAGCCATCCTCGGACAGCACGCGCGCACATCAGCGCACAAACACGTTTGACAACATTGACAGGACCATAACTGCGCAGAAGCCGGCAAGGCATCAACCTCAGCAACAGCAGTTCGACAACAATGGGCGCAAGAACAACAACCTCCAACCGCTTCGTTTGCCCCCTTTGAACTTGATGCCTATCAATCCGACCAAATCGTCCGGGTACCAAAGGTCAAGTCAAGACGGCCAAAGGCCAGACGATTTTACATTCTCCTCGACGCCCGAGCCAAAACGAGTTGCGAAGACGCCGTCGACTCCCATGACTGCAAGCAAGGCCACGGTCTACCGACGCCAGGATGAAGATGCGACAAAGTCAAATGCAATTCGCAGCGCCTCTTCTCACTTTGCATTGAGGGACATGATGCAAAAAGATGATAGTGCGTCTCGCTTCTTTGACGACACCGACCTGGACCTGAACGCGATGGGCCTGCCGGTCCCTACCGCCCGACAACGCAATGCAATCACTCCTTTCTCTTCCGGATCACTACCCAAGGCCTCTGGCGAGTTCATCAGACAGCGGGTAAGAGCGTCCGGAGACGATGACGAATACAGCGTCGGACGATTCGAAGGGTATCAATTGCAGGGCGGGAAGATTCAGGGTCCTAGGCCGAGCCGAAGTGGCACGAATGCATCAGTGAAGACGTCCGAAACCCAGACCTCGCTTGAGAGCCTTGCTCCAGACTCTGCTCAGACGAATGGGAAGAAGGATCACAGCGGCAGCGCAATCAGGAGAAAACTTTCCATGGGCTGGCACCGTGCAAGTAGCAAGGCGACGAACGGCTTCTCAGACCCCAAATCAAGTCCGCTACAAGACGAGTCCGCGTCTGCGTCTGAGCAGGAGAAGGCTGAGAAGCAGAAAAAACGAGCAAGCGAGATGCCGCCTCCAAAACTACCAGCAAGCGCGACATGGTCGGMAGAAGTGCCCTCTCTACCATCTACAAACAGTGCCAGGGCGAGCCTCGACTCTGCACGTGGTAAGGTAGCCGCATCGCAGGATATCAAGACGTCTCCCGTGAAGCGCAGTGTTGATGCCGAACGCACCACCCCCGCTGCAAAGACAAAGAGCATGCACACTGAGCAGCCTCAACCGGTCAATGCTGCTAATCGGGCGACCAGCTGGGGTCAGATTGGAACCGTAACGAAAGCTACGACCAAAGCTGCCCCGGTCAAACCTCGCCACGCTTCGAGCACGTCGAGCTTTGCGCCCATGGTCAAGGATAARGATGATCTTGCGGCTGACGAGGAGATGCGGCGGCTTTCCCAGAAACGGCGCGATGTCGACTCAGCTGCCAAGGAGAGCGAGGAACTGAAGCGTCGTGCAGTTGCTCGTCCCGCAATGACTCCGGAAAGTGTCTTGCACGATCGCAATTGCTCGCTGAACATCTTCGAACGTGGAGAGATCATGGACTATGGCAAAGAAGGCGTCTACTTCACTGGCAACAAGAATGCGCGAAAGATCATTGGCTCTCTCAATCCATCGCCACAGCCGTCGTCTGGCGACAAGGAGAAGGCTGGCAACTACGGATACGACGATGAGCGTGGCGACTACAATATCGTCATGGGTGATCACCTAGCCTACCGGTACGARGTCGTGGACCTTCTAGGCAAGGGCAGTTTCGGACAAGTCGTGCGATGCGTCGACCATAAAGAGGGAGGCGTTGTCGCTGTCAAGATCATCCGCAACAAGAAACGATTCCATCAGCAGGCACTGGTAGAGGTCGGCATACTGGGCCGTCTTAGGGATTGGGTGAGTCGAGAGGGACATCAYTCGTGGAGAATGCTTACTGACATGTCATGCAGGATCCTGATGGGACGCAAGCGACGCTCTCCATCACTTCGTCCTTTTACTTCCGATCGCACTTGTGCATTGTCACGCCATGCCTCAGCATCAACCTGTACGAACTGATCCGATCTCACAACTTTACCGGCTTCTCTCTGCCACTTATCCGTCGCTTTTCCCGTCAGCTTCTGGCTTGTCTCGTGCTCCTGCAGAACAAGCGCATCATCCACTGCGATCTCAAGCCCGAGAACATCCTCCTCTGTGAGGCTCGCAAGGCTGATGTTCGGGTGATTGACTTTGGAAGTAGTTGCAAGGAGGRGGAAAAGGTGTATACCTATATCCAATCTCGGTTCTACCGCAGTCCGGAGGTCATTCTCGGTAGCAGCTATGGGTTGGGGATCGACATGTGGTCACTTGGTTGTATCTTGGCCGAGCTGTGGACCGGTTACCCGATATTCCCCGGAGAAAATGAGCAGGAGCAGCTAGCCTGCATCATGGAGATTTTTGGACCACCTGACCGTCATCTCGTGGAGCGTTGCACGAGGAAGAAGCTTTTCTTCGACTCGGTCGGCAAGCCTCGAGTTACTGTCAGCAGTAAAGGACGAAGACGCAGACCCAGCTCRAAGACGTTATCCCAAGCCCTCWAAACCGATGACGAGGCGTTCCTCGACTTCATCTCCCGCTGTTTGAGATGGGATCCGGAGCGGAGGCTGAAGCCTCACGAAGCCATCCACCACGCCTTCATCACGAATCAGCCCCTGAATCAACGGCAGGGTATCCCCGACGAAGCACGACGTGCAGCACGAGTACGCGCCGCCGCCGCCGTTCCCACATCTACCGGCAATACCATTGCCAGCCCGGCAAAGCGCAGCCACACCAACGCCGGCTCCATGTCGCATACCATGACCCCTGGCGGAGCAAGCACATTCATAAGCCAACAAGCCACGCCGGCGAAAGAACGTCAGAGACCGCTGCCAGAGACGCCCCAGACTGCGATTCGTAACGGTAGCGGTGTCACGCAGAGTTCCCCGGTGAAGCAGCCGTTGGTATCGGGACCTCGAAGACAGAGCTCCGTCGTTTCTGCCGGCGCTTCGAATGTCAAAAGAAGTAGCGCGGGTCTAACCATCGGAATGCAGAGGCAGGGGAGTGGGATTGGGAACCTGAGTGGGAATCCCAGCTTGGCACAACAAGCCGCCAGAGAGGCTAGTGCGGCGCGATGGAGGGGATGATGAAGACTTTGCTTGGCCGCGACATGGCTGTATGAAGGAGACGGGGTATTTGTGTATTTTACGGCGTGAAACCGACGCATATTGATCATGAGTGATTGAGGCGTCTGGCGCCGGAGGTGATTGAAATATCATGACCAAAGTCAATGAAAGAAGATGTATGGATAAGTGATTCGAAATCACGTCCAACAACACGGAATCACGAGAATATCAATCACATTGTGCAACTTCAGTCCGACTAGTCTGAATTGTATGTAACGAAATGGAGGGCGAATTGTATGTAACGAAATGGAGGGCTTCCTCCTTTTACATTCAAAATGCCCTTGTCTATTCGTTCCAATGTGGCTAAGGGAGGTAATTATGCAAGGCGTAACAAATGTTTATGCAACTCGATATGAAAGAAATCCGGGGAAGGAGCCAGCTAGCTCATCTCATGACTTCACATGCGAAACCGAGTACCTTAATCAATAGATATCCACCTTTCCCTCCAAACATACAACAAACAAATCCCATAATGACCACCCCAATATCAACAATAACCCACCAACAACAAATCCCCCTCACCCGCCTCCTCACGCACCTCGAAGCAACGCTCTCCAATTCCTCCAACCACACACCCGCCCACCGCGCACGAATCGCCACGAATCTCGAACATGCGCGGKCTTTGTATTTGACTTTTGAGAAGAGTGTTGTGACGAATCGAGTCCCTGGGGCGAAGAGGGAGGAGGCTTTGGAGGAGTTGGGGAGGCAGAGGGAGTGGATTCGGAAATTGGAGGGGAAGTTGAGGGAATTGGGGGAGTTGGATGATGATGATGATGAGGGGGAGAGTGATGAGGAAGGGGAGGATTTGTTGAATGTTTATCGGCCTGCTAGAGAGGGCATGATGGGGGGGTTGGATGTTGGGGGAGAGACTTTGGGGTTACAGGACGAAGGAAAGGGTTCACAGGGACGGGAACAATCACAGCAACAGCAACAGCAACAACAACAGCAGGAGTTACGAGAGAGAAAAGGATTGAGTGTAAAGGACAACAGATCTGCGGCGACTACGAGTGCTAGAGAAGCTCTCTTCTCGAATCGTCCTCAAGACCAACAAGCGCAAGCTACATCGGATATCTCCAAGACGGAAACTATGATGTCACATCATCGAAACGAGCAGGAGGCTCTCACGACGGGACTTTTGGGGTTGGCGGCTGCATTGAAGCAGAGTTCCATCCAGTTCTCGACTTCATTGGAAGCGGAACGGGATGTGTTGCAAAGGGCGGAGGGAGGACTGGATAAGAGTGCGCAGGGAATGGATGCTGCGGGCAAGAAAATGGGGACGTTGAGGAGGATGAGTGAGGGGCAAGGATGGTGGGGGAGGATCAAATTGTATGCCTTTATCTTTGGCTTGTGGTTGGGATGCTTCTTGTTGGTATTCGTGGGGCCAAAGTTGAGGTTTTGAGGATACTGTCTTATAATTCTCCATCCTTCCCGTTTTCACCCTCAAGCAGCAGCAGCGGCGAACTTGGGCGTATATTTTCCCATGGCCAATTGGAAAGCCTCCCTCTTCGCCTTCAAATCCTGCACCATTTCACTCTCCTCGCTCAGCTTCCCAATCCACTCCCCTCCATCCCTCCCGGCAATCGTCTCTAACACGGCCTTATTCGCCAACACACTCTCGTCCCCTTCTCCCAACTTCAACGCCTCATCCAGCGCCACTTCGGCCTCTTCCACCCGTCCCATGTGCAATTCGCTCACCCCCTGCTGCGTCAACGACATTTGACTCCTCGAACTTGGTCCCTGGGCCAATTCCTCAAAGACATAGAATGCCTTTTGATAATTCTCTCCCCCTTGCCGCATTCCAATCCACGCTTCCGCGAGATTGACCAATAGAGCATCTTGGGCGAAACTTCTCGCGGATTTGGCTTCTTTGACCGCGAGATCGACGCGGTTGAGTGCGAGGTGGATTTGAATGATCAGGGCCACTGCATCTAGAGATCCCTGATGTTTCGCGAGTAAAGCGAGGGCTTCTTCATGCTTTCCATGTTTTGCGAGAAGTGTGCCACAAAGCAATTGCACCGTCAGATTATCTCCTGCGGTCTCTGCGAGTTGTTCGGCGGCTGCAAGGTCGTTTGCTGCTAATGCGCGGACTGCGGCGAGGTCCGGGGTGGATTTCGCGTCCGAGGCGGAGATTGCTGCGAGGACGGCGGAGTTTTGTCCTAGAGCGAGTTGGGCGCGGAATTGTAGGATTTGGATGGGGAGGGCGTTGGAGGGGGAGAAGTCCGAGGGGGTGAAGTCGGAGAGGACGGAGGTGTATTGGCCTTGGATAAAGGCCGTGTGGATGTTGACGAGTTCGCCTTCGGGGCTGAAGGGGTCCATGATGGGTGGATTGCGGTGTGATGTTCCAAGTGGTGGTGGAAGCTGGGGTACAACCCAATCAATGTAGGGACAGGTGGTGTGGGTTTCACATGTCAATGTGGAAGGAGCTGACTAACAAGGTTCTTACACGGAAAGAGTTCCGAGAAATGTATAAAGCTCGCTCTATCTTAGGTGGATAGGGTAAAGTAAGATACCTTGGTGAATACTAGGTACCTCAAGGTGTAATCGATCGTCTCTCACTACGAAGTACTTATCCATCCTCTTTGTAATCGTCAAATAYCCAGTGTTCCCTAATATTATCTCGCTCGTGGTCGTCGTCCGCGGCATCCAAGGCGGCCTCTTTCAGCACTGCAGCTAGGGCCATCGCATGCTCGTATCTTTTACATGGTATCCAGCCATCAGCATTGATACCCAAATCCCCTCGGAGAATGTCCATCTGCCGGTCCAGATCTTCTTGTCAGGACATCTCCCGCATTAAGTCATCGGCTTCTTGCTTACCATACAGAAGCTGGTGYTCAGTGTCTGTATCCCCATACGCGGGCCAGTCCTTCGTCAATTGGACGAGACTTGCTTCCAATGGAATCCTATTGCCTTCCCAAGGCGCAGCGGCATTCCGGTAGACCTTCTTTCAGAGTAGTCCTCGATCATGTGTCATGGCCTTCCAGTGGGCGTCGAGTTTCGTCGATGTGGCTGCAACGTAGTAGAAGTGAGCATGTCGACGACGATCTTAGTGATCGACCTGATCTCTTCTCTATGTCGACCCACTGACGCTGCTGCAACCTCACACAGAGCATCGATGTTAAACTTCATCCTCGGAGAGTGGACGTCTTTAACAATCTGTCAAATCAATTGCCTTCAATGTCAACCCGCCCTGCGCTCTCGGGGAAAGGGTGGCTGGATTTCGAGCTCCAGCAATCATGTTCAATGGCGGTTCCATGTGGACCTCCCTCCTCAAGATCATCATGCCTCCCCACTAACAACCGCCCAAACCTCACACTCATAAAGAATATCCCTCTTTGCCAGACTCGCAACCCCAATCACCGTATCCGGCGGCCTATGTCCTCCAGCCTCTTGATCCATAAACTCACACCACAATTCCGCCCAGCCCCGATCCACGACGTCCAATGCATCCACCTTGTCATCCCCAGTTTTCGTAACAATGTAATGTTTGACCTGCACGATATCTCGGGGAGTTGCTCCTGCAGCAGCGAGAGATTTCAAGATGTTGGAGTAGGCTATCGGAGCTTGTTCGGGGAGGGTGGAAGGGTTTGAGGAGGATGAGGGGTCGCAACCTGTCATGCCTGCGAGGGTTATGAGGCGGGATGTGGGGAGTAATGGGGTTATGGAGACTTGATGGTAGGTTGGTGGGGGAAGAGGGACATTTGGTGGGTTGAATGTGCGGGGTTGAGAGGAGGACATGATGGGGATGTTTATGAGGACGTTGTGTAGTGTGAGTAGGGCAAGATTGTGACTGTCGTTGGACGAGGTTATAGCTTGTAGGGTGGCCCATTGTATCAATCGAGACATGCTGTAGTCTGGGCACGAGGAAAGCCCGTATTGAGACTAGCGCGTCGTCTGCACTACATCCATTCCCATCCGCACTTCTGCTTCTCATACATTACATCAACTACCTATAAATTAACATTACATACATTCTGTCCCAAGCTAGACGCTCTGCTGAAGAGTGTTCACCAGGATACCGATTCTAGGATCGAGCAATATGACATCTCCCGAATCAACGACCCTGCCACGCAACAGCTTCCGCGGATTGCCGTTCGAGCTGCGCGAGCTGATTTACTGCACTGTCTTGGCCGATCTCACTGCCGAGCGAACTTCAACATCCATACAGTGACCTACCTCTGAACTCCCGATTCAGCACATACGTCTCTCTACTCCTCCTGAACAAAGCCATAGGCGAGGAGGTAAAGAGAGTCTTCTCCGAACGATATGCTGAAAAGATCGTCTTCTACTTCGAGGATGCATGTTCTCTTATAGAATTGATGCGAGACTCTGAGACGAAACCGTCCCTCCGTGGAGTACGATTTGTACTCCGAACACGAACAGATCTCCAACCCGAACCCAAGTTCAATCCTGTAGTCTGCATGAACGAAGCCTTCATGTATAAACTTGACTGGACACGCGGATTCGACAAAGGAGTTGGAAATTTCATTCCCACCTCCACATTAGATTATCCAGAAAATATCGATCTCGACTGGTACTTCACGTCGCGTAATCGCCCAAGCCCCAATTTCGGAGCAATCGTCGCCAGCGACCACTCTCTTTGTGGCAAGACGCAAGAAGCGTGCATTCCCTATGAGTCCATCAAAATTCCGGATATGAAGGGATCGCTAAGTGCTGATCTGGCATTCTGGAAGATTCCCAATCCCGACGTTGCCCAAGAAGGAGATACTTGCAGCCCCAAAACCACCGTATATAACAAGCATCAGAGCATGAAGCAAGTTGGTATCCTCCTCTTCCGCGGAAAACTTTGCGAAGTCTTCGTTGAGGGACACTATCGAGATTGGGGTGCTAGAATGCACAGAATGTATCTAATGGCGTTTTTGGTTCGGTGTCCCTGGCCGAAGTTTCGCGCACTGTATAAGGGAAAATATCCCTTGAACGCCCAAGAGTGGGAGGACTTTTGTGCTCGCAAAATCGACTATGGTTGGTTCCCATCACTTGAGGATCTCTCATTTGCTGAATGGTCGCGAGCTCGCAACRAACGCGACATGGTTGGTCTTCCTGCTGTGCGAAGCCCTAATTCGATTAGCTTATGATCAGAGACGCGCCATGTACGTTCATTCACACCCAAAACATCGATAGGGCGTCCATATCAATCCACAGGACTTGGGAGGATGTCGCAGGAAGCTGGGAACCGGCAGAGAGCGACCGTGGACGCACCGAATGGAAAGTTGTACGGCAGAAAGAGCCGACATACGAGGCATCTCCATCACGATATGATCGAACTTGCAGATGAGGAGAGTTCTGGAAGCCCAAAAGTGACCAATGCTTCGAGATTGAGACGATATGAGTGTATGCTGGGCCCGGCCACAGCAGAGATCTTACTCGCTGAAACTCTGTCATATTGATACCCCTTCAAAAACTTTCCAGCTCATTGCCGATATTATCCAACATCGATGCTCAATCTGCGGGTCACGCTCTTCACTCGCAGTCTTTGGCGTGCTACCGCAACCCCTCCCGACAGGATTCGCTTTCCCTGACATTCTCTTGTCATCTTTGACGTTCCCCCAAGATCTTTCAAAGCCTAGCTTTCCTGATCAGTCCTTCACTCATCAGACTTGCCTCCCGAGTTTGTCTTGTTCGACATTCCCTCGAGACCTTGCACAGTCATTTGCCTTTTTTCAAATTCACTTGAGATCTTTCACGATCCAGCAAGCACAAGTACAAAACACATGGTGTTGTCTCGCTAGCAAAGAAGCAGCGAGCACTTGCGTACACGCAGCCCCCCGAACTGGCCAGATCCTGGGCTTGTCCAGACGCCCAGGAACAAAGCCCTGTTTGTGACCTGATGGAAATGAAAGTCGCAAGTCTCGCAAGGTGCATGGAAGGAAGCAGGTAGGCAAATACTTCCGACTGCCGTATTAAAGCTTGTACATTCTTCCAACATCACTCACCCTCTCTATTCACAGTGCTTCCCTCACACTTTCTCATGGCGCCATCAACCGAAGCCCTCTAAGACCTCAAAGACCGTAGAGAGGAGATTCGGGTGTAGCTTTAAGCAGGATCACCAGTCGATGTTGWGATGTCACTTCTTGGAGATGTAGTCGGCCTGATGAGGTTGTTTAGCAGATCTGTCGAGATGGGGAGTTAGCAACAAGACGCCTTTGAAACCAGCTCTCTTCGTAAGAAGGGCCAGATCTACTCGTAGAGAGCGCTCTAGCAGCTTCGAGCTCGTTGACACTGTCGAGAGCGAGCCCTTGTAATACTACAAAGATGATTTGGGAAACGGCTCTCTTTATGACTTGACAGGCCAACTTTGCTTATGGAGACGCTTCTAACAGCTCCATGTTGAGCGACTCTGTGGAAGAGCGAGGGCATTAAAGTGACATGAAGATGATCTATAGGAACCGCTTTCTCAATGACTTGATGGACCAACTCTACCCGTAGCGAGGGCTGTAGCAGTTCCAAGTGTCATTTAAGGGCAAGCGGCTCATCGTGCAGTATGCTCTGGTTACGATATCGGTCTTGCCGTTGCTGCAGAGAAAGCGGAACGATTCTGTCGGTGAGGACGAGGGGGGAAGGGAGTGAGTGAAGTGCGGTGAAGTATGCCTTGGCGTGTAGGGCAGCCCATTGATTGAAAAAGACAGATCTGTGGCGTCAGCTCGGATTGTGGGGAAGTCGGGCCCAAACGAGACGAATGCGCGTCAACCGCGCCTCGTCCATACAGCAGCTCCTGATGAATGGCTGCTGATGTTGCTTCAATAATCCATGATGCCCACCAGATGCTCGAGATAAGTTGACAAGAATCATCAACCAGCATGGCCTCTCGAGTTGTCACGCCCGACACGGCCTCGTTGTCGTCGGCCCACCGCTCCCAACCCTCGCTCCACGGCCGACCCAACACCCAAGTCTTCACACTCGACACCTTTAGCAGTGCGGATTTTATCGTCAAGGATTTCGTGGAATCTCTCTCCGACGCCGCCGCCCCCGCCCGTCGTTCCGCTCCAGCTAATGCGGGCTCCCATGTCTCCAACACTGCCTCCTCCAGCCAGGCATTCGACCCAAAACCCTTGATCCGCACCTTTGAATATGCTCTGGCCCGATTGAAGACTTTGAGTGAAGACTTACAGGAACGAGAGGACGAATTAAGCGCGAGTGTGCGACGGGCCGAGGGACAGCACAATTCAAACATCAAATCACGCGAGCAGGAACTCGAACGTGCCATTGCTTCATTTCGAAGATTGGAACGGACGTTGGACGGAGACGGCGATGGAGAGGCTGATGATGGCGGGAACGCGGCCATGCGGATCGGCGAGAGATTGGAGGAATTGGACCGACAGAGGCAGCGGGCGCAGGACGCCAAGTTCATCTTGCAGTGCTGGGTCGAGGTCAGTGAGCGGGGAGAATTGACGTCGTTGGATGATGTCAGGAAAATGGGTGGAGGCGAGGGAAAGGTGAGATGTGCGCATATCGCGAGGCAATTGTTGAAGATTTCCCAACGATTAGATTCCACGACAACATCAGCATCGGCATCATCCCCACACGACCACACTCCCAAGCTGAATGGGAATGGGAATGGGAATGGGAATGGTCACGGAGGACCGTGGCATCACACCAGGGAGATTATCGAGAAGTTCCTGGAAATGCTGGAAAAGGACCTGCTCAAGTCGTTTGACGACTTTTACCGTCGACAAAATTTTGATGGCATGCGGGAATGTGCTTTGGCCTTGCATGATTTCAGTGATGGCAACTCGGTCATCTCCCTCTTTGTCAACCAGCATCAGTTCTTCATCGATCGATCCCAGCTCGTGACGGAAGAATTGACCTCTGACAATGATGCCTGGGAACGACTGGCAGATCCGGATACCGAGCCGCCTGGTGTGGAACCCTCCCTCCAATCCCTTGTTGATGAGGTCAAGGTCGTGGTGCAAGAGGAATCCTTCATCATCAAACGTGCATTTCCATTTGAGAACGAAGTCCTTGCCCGCTTCCTCCAACGAGTCTTTCAACAATCTATTCAGCAACGCCTGGAAATGGTCCTCAACAAGGCAGATGATGTCTCGTCACTGGCCTTCCTCCGCTCTCTCCAGGCATCTCGCTCCTACATCGCCTTGCTGGTCGAGGACCTCAAAACTCATGGCTTGACTGAACACCCCGACCCGTGCACACCCTCCATAGCTGCCGTCCTCGACCAACAACTCGACGAACTCTACATCCCCTACTTTACAGGCACGTCGTACATTGAACGTGAGAAGCGATCTCTATCAGAACTCTTCGAAGGCCTCCTCTTCAAGTTCGCCCTCTATCACTCCCGGAGGAGAAGAGTCCAAATCCACTCCAACTCATACCTCTCCGCCATCTCCGCCCGTAGCAAAGAATTCCTCTCCAGTGCAAGAGATGCCTACATGGAACGTCTCGACAGCGCGGACCTTCAACCCGGTCAAAAAGCCACCCTCCTCCGCGTGGCCGGCTTGGGAAAGGAAAAAGACGCCACGCCGGGAGCATCATCAGCAGATGTAGTGACCGACGAAGACGGCCAGCTCAGTCTCCCATTCACCAAGCGAATGCTCAAATGGCTGGCCGAAGCGGTGGGAAGAAGTTTAGAGCTCTCGACCAGTCTGGAAACACCCAAGGAGATTCGAGAATTACTACACCTCCTCCTCTCCAATGTGGGAGAAATCTACCTCGAAACTGCATTAGATGCTGCCACAGACGCCGCCACTTCCGCAGAACAGTCCTCCAAATCCGAACCCGATTTGTCATACATCACCGACCTCCGCGCAGCGATCAGCGTGCTGCACCTCATTCAAACGACATGCACATTGCTTCTCCTCCCTCTTGCCGCCACAAACCGTAGTCTTCATCGAGATCTCACCAAGCAGTCGGAGAGTTTCGTGGAGAGAATGGAAAGCAAAATCGACGGAATTCTTCAAAAGACTCTAGACGCGGCACTATTGTGGACGGCAAAACTATTGGCCACGCAAAAGAAGACGGATTTCCGACCCAAAGACGAGACGGCGTTGCAATTGGATCAATTACAAACAGGGACTTGTCAGGCCGTCTACGCCTTTCTGTCCCGATTGCACTCCCGTCTCTCATCGACTCTCTCCGGCCGAGTGCTCGAGCAAGTTTCCTTGGAACTCGCCATTGGATTCCGAACCCTCCTTCTGCAACACTTTAAATCTTTCCAAGTCAGTTTGACGGGAGCGTTGGTGGTGTCCAAAGACATGACGCTGTATATTGAATTGTTGAAGAGTTGGGATGTGGGAGGGGAGGAAGGATTTGAAGGGAGTTTGGAAGTGTTGACGGAAGTCGCGAATGTGTTCGTGTTGGGGAGTGAGGCGCTGAGGGACCGGATCATGACGCAGGGCGGGAAAGGATGGAGTGGAGGCGATTTGAGGGCGTATGTTTTGAGGAGGGAGGATAGTGGGAGTGTTGGGGTGTTGAGTTTGTTGGGAGGGCTGTAGAGGGAGTGAAATGAGCAATGGGGTCGTTTCGAGGTTGTTGGTGGGTCACCTGGGATTGCGTGTCGAGGGGGTTGTGAAGGACGGGATGGAGAAGTCTACCGAGAGTCGTGCATCGAGAATAGGCTTAACGGCTGGTAGAATATACCAACCGATACGGTATGCAGGTGAAGTGTCGGGTGTCCACAGTCTTTCCTTATTGCTCCTTGTTGGAAGTTGCACACCCTTGCACGCCTTCCTCGGACATCAATCGCCGAGGATGCCCCGCGATTGCGATCTTATCCCAATCCACTCACCTTCCATCTCACAACACATGCATTAGACACTCCCGGTACACCGCAACATTGATATTGATCCAGGTACGTGGCACAATTGAGACAGCTCCAAGAAGATGCAAGATCTGAATCAAGCCCGCGAGTCCCGCATTGGCAAACTCTAAACATCGTCATGTCGTCTTCTTGCGATAAGTGATCGACATGGCCGCACGAGGTTACACTGCGCTAAACACGCACCTTCCCTTTGTAGGAGTGGGAAGAGGCAGGATCGTCTGGACTCTGGACCCGACCGACCGAGCTTCTAGATAGAGAACGTCCTCTCTAAAAGGCCGCCATCYCCCGTCTACATCACTCGAGGTGAGTTTCCATCAACATCTGCATCTATTTATTGATAGATCAATCATGGCGCCGCTGAGGAATCTCTTCTCGTGGGCCCTACTGGCCGCCACGTCAGTAGAGGCCATCAGCACCAGCATGGGAGCAGTCGGAAAGTCCATCGGACAGGTCAAAAAAGAGGTCGGTATGCTAGAAATGTATACAATGTGCACAATGCTGACAGCCATAGATCGAGACCCGCAATGCCGCAAAGTTGCTCAAGAGAGCCGACACCAAGCCGTCTCTGCTCTATACGGAATACAACTTCTCCACCCCCATTGATCACTTCCACAATGAGACCAAGTATGAGCCTCATTCTGATGGGATGTTTCCCCTCCGCTACTGGTTTGATGCATCTCACTACGCTCCTGGTGGTCCCGTCATCATCCTGCAGTCGGGAGAGACTTCCGCCACCGGTCGTCTGGTTTTCATGCAAAAGGGAATTCTCTCTCAGATGGCCCAAGCAACTCACGGTATTGCTGTAGTCCTCGAGCATCGCTACTATGGCACATCTTTCCCCACCCCAGATTTGTCGACCGAGAACTTGCGTTTTCTCACCACCCAGCAAGCCCTCGCGGATGAGGCCTACTTCGCCCAGAACATTGTCTTTCCCGGTCTCGAAAAGTATGGCGATCTCACCAGCAAGACCACTGCATACCTTTCTTATGGTGGATCTTACGCTGGTGCTTTCAGCGCCTTTCTCCGCGTTCAATACCCAGACGTCTTCTGGGGATCAATCTCATCTTCCGGCGTCACCAAGKCGATCTGGGATTACTGGGCTTACTGGGAGCCTGTCTCCGCGAACGCTCCTCAAGACTGTGTTGCCACTCAGAAAGCGATCATCAATGTGGTCGACAACATCCTCATCGGCAAGAACGATAGCTCTCTGACCATGCAGTTGAAGGAGGCTTTCGGTCTTGGAWATGTCACCTACGATGATGATTTTGCCAGTGTTGTGAGCAATTCGGGGGTTGGCAACTGGCAGAGTCTCAATTGGGATCCTGAAGTCACCGACAATGAGTTCTACAACTACTGCGACAACATCACGTCGACTGAAGTTCTCTACCCCGAGACATCATCCAAGCAATCCGCTGTCGAGGGACTAATCACTGAAGGCGGCTACACCCCGAACAAGACTTTGACGACTAGCATGCTCAACATGATTGGCTACTTGAACTTCACATCCATATCTTCATGCACGGATGAGACTCAAGATCAGTGCTACTCAACTCACAACTCCACATACTACCAACAGGACTCTTACGATGCTTCATGGCGTAGCTGGCCGTACCAGTACTGCACAGAGTGGGGCTACCTCCAGACTGGCAATGTTCCCGAGGGCGAACTCCCGCTTGTCAGCAGGACTTTGGGACTGGACTACCAGAGCATCATCTGTCGAGAGGCCTTCAACGTCACCACTCCCCCTGATGTTGAGCTAGTAAACAAGTACGGCGCCTACGACATCTCCTACCCTCGCTTGGCGATTGTAGACGGTGAATGGGACCCTTGGAGACCCGCCACCCCTCACGCTTTCGAGTTTGGAGCCAAAGATAGGAAGAGCACAGCTAGCGAGCCATTTTTGGAGATTTCGCAAGCGGTGCATCATTGGGATGAGAACGGCCTGTTCCCCAACCAAACGACTGCGGAGTTGCCACCTCAGCCCGTGGCGGATGCGCAGAAGATGTTGATTCAGAGCGTACAGGAGTGGATGCAGGAGTGGGAATTGCAGTGTTTGATCAGAGGTGGAGGGTGCTCGTGAGTATTTTCTAGAGGATGACGGTGAGGATGTGGGAGAGGATAAGTAGAGCTAACGATTGTGTTGTTTTTGTTTTAGCGGCAGTAGTGCGAAGACAGACCTCTGATGGAGGAGATGGTGAGGAGAGCGAGATGGTCATTATGAGACATGAATTTGAAGAGTGATTGGCTTGTGGTTGTGAATCTGATTGCATCTCTGATGTATGTGGTAGATGAAAGTTGTGTATCGTGAGCCTCGGCCGCTTCTGTGGATGGTGAGGTTCCGAGATAGAACTATCAGATTCGCCCGAGAGGGTCATGAACACGGACGGCTTGGATCGATACGAAAGAAATTAGAATCCATTCAAAAAGTCGAGCAAAATTTGCTCCATGCCTATTCGTCTCTCGTCCTCGTTGCTTCCGGGGAGCCTTTTCCGATCCTCATCCCTTCTTTGAATTGTCTCTGAAATGAACTTTTGCAGTGACAAGGACAAGATTCGGAAATACCGTACTGGAAGATCTTTTCAGCAGTTCATCTTAGTATTTCGTTCAAGGTCGAGGAGTCATCAACCCCTTAACGAGCAAGTAGCAAACAAATGAGATTTCTCTCGAATCTTTCTGGAATTACTTCATTGAAAACTTCATTTCCGCTATTGAAGAATATGCTTCGATGTCGGGACTCCTTATAGTAGGACCGTTTAGCTCGGTCTAAGATAGAAGATCATTTCCCGCAAAATTTCCACGGCATCGAATTTCGTTTTTTCATTCATTACTAGGACGTTTGCAGCACCATAAAGCTCAATAATGCGCGTGGTAGAGATAAAGAGGCCTCGAAAGACGGCGCTAATCGTGCCTCACCTTGCCACGAGTCTCTAGTGTCCATCACCAATCTGGGTCCCTCGGTTAGTCGAGGAACAGTAGTTTCGATCGAGATTAATCTTGTTGCCTGCCGAGAATTGTAGCCTGATTATAAGCTAGAACCAGATATATGTTAAGAGAAAGATCAGGCTGGCACTCCTATAGCAAAAATTGACCGTTGCTTCAAAGAACTCCGGTGTTGTTTCTCTAGGACGTAACTGGAACACCAGAAACAACCTCAACGACATGCTAGCTTGCTGTAAACTTTGTCGCGAGCTAAAGTCAGTTTCCTCGTAGGAGACCCCCCTTTTTGGTGTTTTACTGACAGTTTCGGCAAATCATGGTATTATGTYAAGAATATGCTTCTTTCACCTTAATGCGATGATCTCGCCTAGCATCAAGAAATAGGCAGAGTCGCGGCGAAATGGGAGATATCGCTGAATGAGGAGACATTGAAGAACCCCTGTAGACGAGACTCAACTTTCAACGCAACGCTACTATCGACGCATATCTATGGTCTCACTTCACATCTTCGCAGCCACTGAAGTCTAGTTTCAAGCCTTCCCCCAGAATCACCAACAAAATCCGTACAGTCCTGCGCCTCTCCAGAACCCAAAACAAAAAGAGCCGCTTCCCAACGACATCTAATCATCTTCCTCCCGAAAAAAAATCGTTCGGTAACGAATATACCCCTCATTATAATTAACAATCCCCCCTTCGCAATACCTATTAGATTCCCTCTCTCCAACCCTCTCACATTTCCTAAATCCAAAGAACGGCCGAATCGTCCAGACTTCCACCAAACCCGGCTCCCCATCGTAATCGCTCAAGATTCGGGGGAGATGGACTTTTCTCACAAAACCGATTCCGGGACTCGTGAGCGTGAAGAAGATTAGACCGGTTCCTCCGATGACTGTGAAGATTATGTAGGAGATTACGAAGGGTGTTCCGGGATGGTTGGGAACGAGGAGTGTGATGATCATGATTATACATATTAGTATCATGATGCATGACCAGGCGATGTTGAGGCGTTTCAATGGTTCTGAATAGTGGGTTTGAGGTTCGGCGATGGCGGGTCCGTTACTTGTTGGAACTTCATCTGTGTTGTTCGTCATTTTCCTCCTGAGGATTCAGAGTTGGAGAGCTGCTAGGTAGGTTCCGCGTTGATTGAAGTTCCAAAATTCTGAGCTTTGATTGAAAATCGGCGCTCCAATGGCGTCCATAGAGTTTGACTTTTGACTTCAAATCAGTCAAAATCAGTCAATCATTGACTGATTTGACTTGAATTAATGATGTTTGAATAGCCGGTAGTTAGTCAAATTAAGGTGGCTCTTCGGTGCGTGGATAAGGCGTAGTTAAGCCGGATTCGGACTATATAGTTATTCGGTGTTCGTTTAGTTTAGTGTAAGAAGCATTAACAACTATAGTAACTACTCGTAAGGTTAGTAAAGCGTTAGTTGTGTATAGTATTAAACTAAGGAGTAATTAGATAAAAGAAGAGCCCTTACTAACACTACTACTATCCTCTTAGGCTCTAATATCCTTACCTCCGGAATAGCGTATAAAGAAAGAGGATGTTTAGAAAGAGCGTATTATAAAAGAGCGTGTTACGTATGCTATTAACTTAGGCTATATCGCTAACCTCCTCTTACCCTTTACTAGTATAGTAATTATAGAGGATCCTATAAAAGCTTATATTGCTAACCTACTCTTACGTAATATTATCGATAATGCTATAGTGTCCGGAGAGGAGTAGATTATAATACAAGGTAACTAATTAATATTAAAGAGCGAGAAGGAGTTTATTAAGCGATTCGATAACGACGTACTAGATACTCGGATTACGAATATAGAGGTAAAAGCTAGTTAAATCCACCCTAAATATTCGAAGGATATACGCGATAGAGTAGCTCTAGAGGTGTAGTATACGAAGGATACGGAAGGGCGTATATAGCTATTATAGGTAACTTAGTCGTAGGACGACGATTTGCGGATAATTTTCGAGCGGTAGAGGGAGGTCTATATAGAAAGGTAGTTAGCGTATAGATAAGAAGGTAGTAGTTATTATAGATAAGAAGGTAGTAGTTTCGTTTAGTAGTTTTAAAGAAAGCTAGTATATAAATCGTTATCGCTTCCGGAGCTACTTCCGGTTAGGATCCGGCTACTCCCGTATACGGGGGAGCTAATTAAAATTGCCGTTTAGACATCTACGTAGGCGTAACGCAAAAAACACCCTACGTTTTTTTACTATCTTCCCTTAACTCTACTCCGGAAGTAGCCGAGTAGTAGCCGAGTAGTAGCCGAGCGGGGCCGAGAGATCTAGGGTAAGGGTTAGGGTAGTAAAAAAAAGCTTACATCCATAATAACACATATAGTTCCTAGCCGATTTATACGATTTTAGGCCTAAAAAATCGCGCAGAATTAGGGCTATCTAACGGGAAAACAATCGTGTAAATCGGTTAAGAATTGTAGAAGTTGTTACAACTCTAATAGTTAAGATAACATATCTTAAGATCGGGGACCGAGAATCGCTAGAGTCCTTCTTAACTTCCTATATAATAAATTCACTTTATACTAACTTTCTTTATACTAAACCGAATTACATAATTTATAGCTTATATTAAAGCGTAGAACGAGCTTATTTATTTACGCGTCTTAGATTACGAATCGACTAATAACTCTATTTATAGTCGCGTCGCGAATATTCCTAAGACTAGCGTTCGGTAAAGCTAAGGGGAAGGATTTTCTTTATACTTCCTAACTACTTCGATATAAACACTAATACTAATAACTATAGCTCTAAAGCGTACTCTACGAATAATTAAGAAGCGTAAGGTTTAAGAGCCGGATAAAGAAGATATATACGCATCGCCTTCGCTAATACCGGAAACTTAGGCGACTAATATAGCTACCGAGTTATCTTAAGAGCCGTCTTAAACCTTCGACTCCTCTTCGCCTATACTAATCGACATACTAATACTAGAAACTAGCGCATAGTTTATCGCTCGGCGATAGCTTACTCGGTCTACCTCGTCGCTATACTATAGCGCTAGTAATTTAGATAAAGAGCTATAGAAGCACTATTAAGAACGGACACCGGACGAGCCCTTACGAAACGAGTTTCGTTAGCGAAAGTTCTACTATAGTCTCTATATATAGTATAGAACATCTAGTAATACTAGTGTTTATCTAACTAAGTATAGTATTAAGGTCGGACGGTTTAGAAAGAACACTACGTAGACGAAGGTCTCTAACGCTCTTTATTAGGGATTTAATATATAGCTTAAGAAGGCAGTAATTATAGAGGATAATAAGGTAAAGGCGATCCTACGTAATGCCGCCGATAAGGAAAGATACCGTAATACACTAATACGGTTCTTAATAGTATATAGTATCTTATACTACGCTATTATAAGCGACATATTTAATAACATTGTCCTTACTATTAATCCTTAGGCTAGCTATGTTCTACTTTATTCGCCTAGCTCTATTATACTACGTATTATTCGCAACCGCTAGGCTTAATAAGAGGTTATAGCCGCATATATCTAGAACGGCCTTAGCTACTACTATATTAGTATAGACACGTAGAAGGCTCGCTACGGCTATAAACACTTTTAAGCTGTTAATCTTTAGTTTATTAACGAACACGGTAAGCTAGTGTAATTACTACTTAACCTCGTAGAGGTAGACGGCCTATAGCGTAAGAGCGGCGATTATTTAGCTATACTAGTAATTAGTTCGATTAAGGACTACAACCTATAGCACAAACTTAGCTAGATTACCTCTAATAATGTTATAGTTAACGACCGTATAGTCGCTATAATCGCTACCTTTATAAAGGAAGCCGGCTATCCGTAGTAGACTAAGAAGACACGTCGCTTACGCTACGTTAGCTATATTATAAACATTATCGTATAGGCCGCCCTATTTAGAGCGATAGACAGCGACAACGACACCGCTACCGCTAATACGTAGAGGATTAAGGAAGAGTACGAGGCTATTATCCGTAGAGCGATTAAGTAAGAGTTAGACACCGGCGATAGTAGTTACCGTATAAAGCTATAGATAGCGGATAACGCTCTTACTCGCTATCCGAGTATAGTTAAGCTACGTAACCTTATAGTATCGCTACGTAAGGACAAGTACTAGCAGTCCTTTAAGATAATTACTACTAGCTTCCCTAACGAACTAAATACCGTACTAAAGATACCTAGCGACATACGGTAGAACGGCTAGCTATTAATAATATTAGAGGCATTTTACACTC